CACTTGCCAAAAAAGACTAAAAATAATGGAAGCTTTAATAATAAAAAAGAAAAAGCCAACTCTTAACAATATTAACTATGAACAAAGCCATAATGTGCTAAACGTATTCGGAAATTAAAAACATCCCTACCACACACCGAACATACACAGAACACACACACTCTACTAAGCTGATAATCGAATCATCCTTGATAATGGCTAAATGTATAGCCGAAAGCGCTCGGAAATACAGAACATTCGGACAGTTCTTACACACTCTTTGTCCAGAAAAGAAAGCTCTTGTCAGAACACAAGAAAAATTAAATAAAAAGCTCAACCGTAGTACCTTGTCTGTCGTTTTTAATAAAACATGCATAAAGGAAGGATTGCTGCCTAAATAAATATATATATATATATATATATATATATATATATATATATATATATGAGGTTGTCAGAATTCATTGAAAAATACATCCCTACACCTACCAAAAACGTAACTAATAACTGATACATCAAAATACAGCGATAATGAACACGCAACCACGCCTTTTCTGGATGAATGGATTTCTCTGCATCCTTGGAAACGTGAATTATGAATTTTTGCAGTGCCTTTAAAACCCAGTAATCTTTAAAATAAGTTACCCCAAAAATCGCTTGAGGATGAAATGGAACTAATGTCTTTAATTTAATAACAAAATTAAATTCGAAGCTTTTCGCTTCCATTTTTGAAACATGTTTAGAACTGTGTAGCGAAAAAAAAACGATATTTTAAATCAGTTAATTTATAATATTAATGCTCTGTAAATTTACATTGAGCACTATTTTAAAAAAAAAAAAATATCTATAATAACACCGGATGATATATCTTACTGTTCTTTCTTTATATATTATATATATATATATATATATATATATATATATATATATATATATATAATGTTATATTTTAATATGTGGTTAGAATTGTTTAATAACACCTTCAATCTTGAATATTTCTTGAGTGTTATATCAGAGTGTCTATGTCAATGTATGTAGGCATATGTACGTATCTTTTCGGTGTCTGTGTATAGCATTGTGTATGTATGTGGTTTAATTTTTTTTTATTGTAAAAGGCCGTGCAAATATTTCCTCTCTCGTCACTTTTTTGTGTGTGTATATATCTAAATATGTCTGCATGCTTATGTATTATAATCTGATTGTGTTTGTATTGTCTTTCGCAAGATGTCATAATCCAATGTATACACTTGTATCTATTTTGTCATAAATTAAGGGCAGTCGATCTTAACGTTTATTCCAACGTAATTTCAATAGAAACAAAATGAATAGAAGAACATGTATTTTTTCTTTTTTCCTCAATAATTTTAAAATTTTAAACTTAATATAGATTAAATTTATATTTTTGAAATGGTTAGTTTTTAATTTTAATTTCAAATTTTATTGTATAATTTAATACTTATTAGAATAAATTCTATTTTAGTATAAACCCAACTTTAAAGCATTTAATAATTATCATAAACTTACTTCGTATACTTGTATTTTGATTGGTCATTTCAGCTCATGACGGCGTTTCCCCTTATGAGGGTTGGTTAGTAGATTTGAACCTTTTAAAACCTTTATTCTACAATCTACATTCAACGTCATCACTTGATAAGACACCAGAGGTGTTGAAACAAAATGGCTATTTTTGTAGTGATTTTATAACATATTTATGTTATAATTTTAAAATAAATAATTATATATATATATATATATATATAAACTGATATATATATATATATATATATGCAGACTGAGATAGATAGATAGATAGATAGATAGATAGATAGATAGATAGATAAAAAACATACGTATACAAACATATACTTGCACGTACATATATATTTATAAAAACAGTGCTCAATGTATATATTAATGAATATATATGAGATACCACATCGTAATTATCTTAATCAAAAAGCATCAGAACCTTATGTATTATACAGGAGGACCTCATCGTTGCAATATGTCGGGTCCAATGAAGTGATTGCACCAGGAAAGTTTTAATTCAACCAATGTTGCGTTTTGCGAGAAGACAGACTATCGCCAAAAGTATATCCACAGATCGCGAGAAGACAATTTTTCTGGAAGAAATCCAGCTGACGGATAAGGGGCACAAATGGTGTTCACGATTCCGAGTCATACAACAATGAGGTCAATACGACTGCCCAATTTTGGTGCCCAATTTGATATCACTATCATTCTATAGGGGTTTGGGAAGTTTCACACACACACACACACACACACACACACACACACACACACACACACATATATATATATATATATATGAGGAGTCGAATCCATTACATTCACTTCCGTGCTAATACCCTTGGGAAAGGTGTGAATCCTCTTCTTCTCCCTCCAGTTATGAGGAAATATCAGGACAGACTGGGTTCTATAGCCTTGGATGGCAACTGGTCTAGGAGAAGGACAACTCTGAATTCAAAACCTGCGGAGGGTCGTTTGGGGACCTTGTGGCACGTAGTGCACCAGGTCTCTGTATTCGGCCCTTCAAAAAGTGTGGATGGTCCTGCACGAGGCCTTCACCACTATAATCAAATCTTATGGGCTGTTGTCGGGCTGTCGGTTTCCTGGGAACTGATCTGCTTGACCCTCATCCGTCGAACTCGACGGGAGAGTTGAGTATATATATATATATATATATGTGTGTGTGTGGGTGGGTGTGTGTGGGTGTGCGCGCGCGCGTGTGTGTGTCTCAGGTGTCACAGCAAAATTGTGCAAATCGTATTACATCATAATTGTGAATACCACAAAATGTTTAATATGTAAAAAAAACACTAAATTAATTGAGTCTATTTTTCCAGGTTTTTCAGATAACACGTTCAACCATTTTGACACTCAGCTAGAAAGAGAACTGGCTAAAATCGTTTGTGTCAGCATCACTGTCTTCCCAAATGAGCAATGGTGAGAAGAAAAAAAAAACATTCAAGTCTTCAGAAATGGAACCAATATTTATACACTGACTTCCATCTCCAAAGTTCATTCAAGAACTATAAGGAGAACGGTGAATAAGTTTTAAAAAGAGGGAACAATAGAGAGGAATACTGGATCAGGAGGTCACAATAGGAAGAGGGATCATCACTTCAACTGAGAGCTAAGGAGATTAATTAGAAAAGATCGTAAAACATTGTGCACGTGGGTGAGGTGTTTCAGCTCTGACAGTCCAAAGAGCAGTGAAAACATGACTTGAAAATGAAATCGTACGGGAAACGTCGAGGTAACTTGTTAGAAGATGAGAAAGGAAAGTTGGAAATGATCCAAATAATATATATATATATATATATATATATATATATATATATATATAAAGTTTATTTCAATACTTCATGAGCCTCCGATCCTTAGCTATGGTTAATTAATAATGAACATGTTATTTTTCGCTTATGATCTATTTCTTCAAGATTCTTCTGTTAAGCTGTTAAGAAATTATATATTTTTTTTGCTCAATATAGAGACCAATAGGGTTATAAAAACCTCAGAGAATTCCAGTAAGATATATTTAATCATTTCTAAGATACAATGGTTCCAAGCTTAATCTAACAATTGTACAATTTTGCTGTTACATCGGGTATGTATATATATATATTATTCTAGGCTCGAAAAATTGCGATATGAATAATCACTTGTATATACTTGCCAGCCCCAGCTAATGCTCTGCGATGGAGCGGCTAAATGTCAATAAGTATTCGTGGCTCTTGGGGCACTGTTCCGAGGTTATCTGAATACTTGGATGAGTATCACTACGGATCTGACTGAGTAGCAGAGCTATATCGAGTCTAGCTTGTGTCGTCTTCGTCACCGAGTCCCGTGGTGCAGTTGGTATGACGTTTGCGTTGTATCGAAACGGTCCGGGTTCTATTCTTGGTATGAGTCAGATAGGACGAAACGGCCGTCCAGTGCATTCCGCTCAGAGTTATTCTTGGCTCGACGTATTACTATATATATATATATATATATATATATATATATATATATATATTAAGCGTTTCTCCCCAAACAGGGCGGAAAGCCACTAGGACGCAAGAAGATTTGGAGCAAGATCAGATAGGAGTGATAGAGGAAAGGATGAGGAGAAGGATAGTGGATAAATCAAGGCAACTGGAGATGTCGATTGACATTACATTTGAATAGTTGGATATTATAGCTCTCAGGGAAACTAGAATAGGCGAGAAGTGCGAGATATGAAGCTATTGGAGTAGAAGAGACGTCTACATTTAATAGTTTCAACAGTGAAAGGGTGAGAGCGGGATGCCAGCCTCGTAGAGCGCTTGAATTGATGAAGTCTGGGAACCAGACTTCATCAATTCAAGTGCTCTACGAATGTAGCTCCTCGGAGCAATTGCCATGAAAGTATTTGTAAAACAGATAGAGAGAGGCGACGGCGCGTCTGTGAGAAAGTGACTGTAGACGAGATGCCAGATCAGGGCCAATTATATTGCACATATATCTTATCAAGAACCCCGAGGCAAACAGAAGGGGCTCCAGACCCTATATGGCAGCAATACATTATTAGTATAAGAAGTAATCCTATAGGTATACACCCGTTCGGAAAACCTTCAGTGTTTTGATTTATAAATAACCAAACCAATACCAAAGGAAAAAAAAAGGTATAAAAAAAGGAAGAATCAAGAACATGTGCGTTAGCCGAAAATAATCATCCAGCATTCAAGTCCAAAGCCCAAAGAAAAAAAACCCGATACGAGTACGCAATAGCCTTCCCTGGCGATCCGCTTAGGTGAAACCTTGGTAGGTTTGTGTCTGGCTCTCTATGTTTAACTATATATATATATATATATATATATATATATATATATATATATATATATGTACATAAATACATATATATATATATATATATAAGGCAGGAAGTGTGTGTGTGTGTGTGTGTGTGTGTAACGAATGCACGGCCGCAATTTTCGACGGATTTGCACCACAATTTACTTGCACATGCACCACGTTAGCCGGAGGGCCAAGACCGACGTTGCATTTCCCAACTCCCACCGATAGTGGAAATAATTGATTTTTTCATGCTTCTACGGCAGTTTTCATGTAGTTTGCAGCCATTTTCTACTGGCCAGAGTGAGAGCCAATAGCTGGCTGCCATGAATAGGCAGGAAGATTCTATTGGCCAGCATGAGAACCAACAGCGGACAGACACGAATGTTAAATAGCATGCTAGCATGCAAAAAATCGATAGCTGCATTCGTCACGAGTGGGAAAAATTTAAATCTGCATGTCACTTTACTCCAATTGGCTCATTCGCTTGCTTAAACTCAACGCTGATTCTGATTCCGCAGAACTAGGTTGGGTGTGAAAAAGTATTTGTTGTTAACATTCTTTTCTCATTCGGTTTTTCCAGTTACGAGTCCTTTTTTTAAAGCTGATCGTTTTGTGTTCATCTTGTTTAGTTCTTTTTTCGTAACAGATTTAATGTTTAGTATAGAGCTTAGAAAAATTTCGCAGCGTGAGATAGGCAAGAAGTAAGGCATGTAGCAACATCAGCAAGGCAAAGGGCACTCCTTTAAAGGCAAGGAAGGGCAAAAATATTTTAAGTCAAGGGATAGCGATTGCTGTATGAGTCGTACGATTTTTGAATCAAGCACGGGCAACGCCGGGCTATGCTGCAAGTATATATATATATATATATATATATATATATATATATATATATATATATATATATATATGTCAGTTAAGCATTTATCTAGTATCTTTAACAATGCATTATATATGCGAGTTACACTTAATGTATGGGGTCTCAATGAGTGCGCAAGCGTTCACCATGACTAGAGGGTCTGCTCGGTGAAGGTGAAACTAGCTTGAGTTTTGATGTACTGAAAGCAACAAGCAAGTTATTTTATTGAGCTGCTAAAGCAAGGCCATAGGAGTGATCAACTGCGAAACGCCGATCAATGCTTAAGAAATATCCAAAGACAATGTCTTCAAAAGATTAATCAGTGTAAGTGATTGCTTGTGTTTTAGCTCCTTTTTTTTATTTTCTAGCAAGCCACCCCAATCATATTTATTTTTCCATTTCGTTATTTTTAAGCATGATTTATGGGTACCTTTCACCAAATAGACGCTATTGCATCAAAAATTTTTTTTTTTTGATTTTGAAAAACGATTCAAAAATTGTTCGGCGTAACAATCGGAAAATCTACGACTCCTTGGAGGGGACTATATATATATATATATATATATATATATATATATATATATATATATATATATATATATAATGGCTGAGACTTGGATGGCTAATAAAAATGTTAAGTTTATGTGGCAGCGGCTAATGCCGCCATCTTGCTAGACACAAATGGAGATAGTTTGTTGTTTAATCTTTTGTTCATGGAAATCGACTGAATTTCGTCCAGGCTTTCGGCCAACTCCAAAGTTGACCTTATAAATTGTCCAGTTAATCTGGAATTCATCATGATTTGAATTTAGACTGATCGATTTTGGGAAAAAGAGATAAGGACCAAGAGTTAGAAAAGCAAGAAGAAGAAGAAGAAGAAGAGCGTTGAAGTAAAAGAGAATAGGAGAGAGAAACAAGGGTGACAAAAACAGAGAACGGGCGAAAAACATGAAGAAGGACTGAAGAATGGGGTGACATCGTGGGTAAGAAAGAGGGAGGCAATAAAAAACAGAGTTCAATCGCTGGGTCGTGTGTTGCAGTAAAAACAGGGCTGGAAAAGACGGAGGAGTGAAAGGAGAAAAACGATATGGAAAGAAAGCAAGCAAGCAAGCAAGCAAGAAAGAAAGAAAGAAAGAAAGAAAGAGACAGGGCTAAAAATGACAGACGAGAGAAAGAAGAAAAATGATACAGGTAAAGATAGATAGATAGATAGATAGATAGATAGATAGATAGATAGATAGAAATAGAGCGAGAAATAACAGAAAGAAGAAAATGATATGGAAGGAAAAAAGAAAAAAAAAAGAACGAAAGCGAGCTAGAAAAACTGAGAAGGAAAAGAAGAAGAAAGAAAGAAAGAAATAACTGAGGAGAAAAATAAGAAAGAAAGAAAGAAAGAAAGAAAGAAAGAACTGAGGTGAAAAATAAGAAAGAAAGAAAGAAAGAACTGAGGTGAAAAATAAGAAAGAAAGAAAGAAAGAAAGAAAGAAAGAAAGAACTGAGGTGAAAAATAAGAAAGAAAGAAAGAAAGAAAGACATGCAAAGAAAGAAAAAAAGAAAGAAAAAAGAAAGGAAAGACATAGGAAGAAAGAAAGAAAGAAAGAAAGAAAGAAAGAAAGAAAGAACTGAGGAGAAAAATAAGAAAGAAAGAAAAACATGGAAAGAAAGAACGAAAGAAAGAAAGAAAGAAAGAAAGAAAGAAAGAAAGAAAGAAAGAAAGAAAGAACCGAGGAGAAAAATAAGAAACAAAGAAAGACATGGAAAGAAAGACATGGAAAGAAAGAAAGAAAGAAAGAAAGAAAGAAAGAAAGAACTGAGGAGAAAATAAGAAAGAAAGAAAGAAAGAAAGACATGCAAACGAAAGAAAGAAAGAAAGAAAGAAAGAAAGAACTGAGGAGAAAAATAAGAAAGAAAGAAAGAAAGAAAGAAAAGAAAGAAAGAAAGAAAGAACTGAGGAGAAAGAAAGAAAGAAAGAAAGAAAGAAAGAAAGAAAGACATGCAAACGAACGAAAGAAAGAAAGAAAGTCATGGAAAGAAAGAAAGAATGAAAGAAAGAAAGAAAGAAAGAAAGAAAGAACTGGGGAGAAAAATAAGAAAGAAAGAAAGACATGCAAACGAAAGAAAGAAAGAAAGAAAGAATGAAAGAAAGAAAGGGTGAATAAGATGTAGATCAAAGTGTAAGAATAAAAAGACAGAACATGCAAGAGGAACAAGGAGTAACGGAATTGCAACAGGACATAAAATATTTGGGTGAAAGGCGGAACAGAAGAGACTTTAATGTGAGAGATGAAACCTTGGGCATGGAGTAAGTAGAGTAAGAAGAAGAAAGAAAAAATGAAATGAAATGAGAAGGAAAAATAAGAGAAAAAGGAATGATCATAAAAACAGAAAGAAGGAGAGAAAAGGAAAAAGGGAAAATGTGGAAAGAGAGAGAGAGAGAGAGAGAAAGAAAGAGAGGGTGATGCGAGAAAGAAAAAAATGGACGTCAAGAGTTAATCGAATTTATAAAAGTTTCTACGAAATGATTTATTATTGTATCGATCACGAGAAACTGAAAAGATTGATATTCATCTCGACCTTGCTAAACAGCTAAGGAAGATACAGATTTAGAATATGACAATAGTGCCAATCTCTATCAGAGCACTTGTACTGAATTATTACGACACCAAATTCATGAATCATTGTTGTAAATCAGGTGTTCCCAACCGATTTGGGGTCAGACCCCACTTTGGTATTTCTAAAATTCTTCTGTCCACCCACTTTAATATTTTATTTTTACATATTCAAAATTTTATTGAAATTCACGTGAAGGAAGCTGAAAAGGCCATTAACTTGTTCTCTAAACAAGCCTCCAAAGACCATGGCGTCAATGAAAGAGAAACATTTAAAAAAACAAAAAGACAGTTAAATATATATAGTTTTAATATATATATATATATATATATATATATATATATATATATATATATATATATATATATAAATGTTTCAAAAAACAGAGAACTGAAAAGTAGAACTATAAAATATTTGAATGAAAGCTTATTCTGTAATATACTTTGATCATTTTAATCCTGAAATAATAATTCAAAATGAAATTTGAGCTGACTAGAAAACAATTCACTCTTAATAACTCATTCTCGAATTGCCCCCTTATTCTGTTGGTATAGTAAGCCAAAGGCTGCACATCCTACGCATACCCCACCAAAATATATCTAGAGATTCTTATTAAAATCCAAAGAAGAATCGGCAATATTATTGTCCCTGACCTGGCATCTCGGGTTCAGTCACTTTCCCACCATCATAATATAGCTCCCAAGTGGCTTTTCTATAAATATTTTCGTGGTAACTGTTTGGATGAAGTCTCCACTATGATGTAACCCAGTCGTTCCCATCCGATTTGGGGGCCATGTCCCAATTTGATATCTCTAAAATTCTGGTTCTCCTCTGTAATATTTAATTCTTACATAAGAAGCTTAAAAGACCATTAACTAGTTCTCTAAACAAGCCTCCAAAGACCATGGCGTCCATGAAAGAGAATAATTAAAAAAAAACAAAAAGACAGTTAAATATATATATATATATAATTATAGTGGTAAATATACATACATAATTTCCCTCCCTTTTATTCTAATCTTATTCTGATCTTATTAGATTGTCTATGGTGTGTGTATGTTACCACGATATATATCTTTATGCATTAGACATCCGTCAACATTCATTCTTTTCTCTTATTTAAACCCCTTCCACTCACCTCTCCTAAAATTCTCTCTGTTAAGGTTTAATCTCCCTCCTCCTCATAGTTACACACTCTCTAAATTCTGTTTTTATTTCTGGAGTTGTTTTTTTTGTATTTTTTTTTGAATTTGTAGGTCTGATGAATTGGATCGTATTTACGGTTCCAATGGAATAAATTATGACTATGGAATATTAGTTTTAAGCCTTTTATTATATATATATATATATATATATATATATATATATATATATATATATATATATATATAGTTTCAAAACATATAATAGAGAACTGAAAGACAGAAATATAATAATTTTTTTTTTTTTTTTTTTAACATTGTGCCCCAAGCAAGGCGTGAAGCCACTAGGATGCAGGGGTTTGGTACATTTGAATAGTTGGAGATTATAGCTTTCAGGGAAACAGTAATTGGGGATGGTGTTCCACTGGCGAGAGGTGCGTTAATTCAAGGTATGAAGCTATTGGAGTAGTAGAGACGGCTACATTTGAAGGTTTCTAACGGTGTAAGGGTGAAAGCGGGATGCCAGCCTCGTAAAAATTTTGAATTCATGGAGTCTGGGAACCAGAGAGAGCAGCTCATCAAGCAGTTACCATGGAAGTATTTGTAGAAAAGACAGAGAGAGGCTACGGCGCGTCCATGTGAGAGAGTGACTGCAAACAAGACGCTAGATCAGGGCCAATTAGATTACATATCCTTCTCTGGATCTTGTCAAGAACTCCGAGGTAAGCAGGAAATTTTATTCTGTAATATACTTTAATCATTTTAATCATGTAATTATAATGCAAAATGAAATTTAAGTTCATCAGAAAATGACTGTTAATGAGATCCTTGTGCGTCATGCCTGCTACAGATAGATTTTATATTAGGCGCCAATTTAGTCAGCTTAAGCCTGGTCGCCTCGTTTAGTGATATCAAGTCGATTTCTTTTCTTCAATAACAAATCATTTACGACACTAAAGCTGCATTCAGCTAAATATGAAAAGGGAAATGGTAACAACAAATTTCTTGTAACGATGGTTGAATTTAAGTAAACTGAATGCTCACAATGTGCTGATTGACCGACAGAACATGGGCTCTTCCAGCAACATCTATCACGCCCTCTCCTTATGCGCTGATTGGCCAACAAAACATGGGCTCTTCCAGCAACATCTATCACGCCCTCTCCTTATGCGCTGATTGGCCAACAAAACATGGGCTCTTCCAGCAACATCTATCACGCCCTCTCCTTATGCGCTGATTGGCCAACAAAACATGGGCTCTTCCAGCAAAATGCATCACGCCCTCTCCTTTGTTGACCAAGACACACGGGTGTAAGGAGACGGGAAATACTCTGTATGCCAATTACACATGTACGTACATATACACAAAATATTTTTGGGTATGCATACTGTATATACATCGTATATATATATATATATACATATTAATATTAACACTTTGACTCAAACTCACAAGAAAACAATTCACTGTTAATAACTCATTCTCGAATTGCCCCCTTATTCTGTTGGTATAATAGGACGAAGGGTGTAAATTCTACGCATGCTCCACCAAAATATTAAATGCTCCACCGGTGGGATATGCGTCCCACGTTGGGAATCATTGCTGTAAACTATAAAGCTATTTCCAATAGTAATTGAGATTTCTATCCCTTGTCCGGGTATTGCACACGTAGACCCAGTGAGAGCAGGAAGAGCAATAACTGACTAGTAGTAAACACGAAAACGACAAGATATTCCGAGATATGTGAACAATTCACACCGTAGATTAAATAAAGTGTTAAATTTGAATTTCCCAAAAGGCTACACGGACCGATAAGCACTTAGAGGACAGCGGCGGAAATATGATACTAACAACAAAAATAGTGAGAATTATTCGAATGTAAACAAACTCGATATTGATAGCTGATCTCTTCTCTGATCAAGCTCTAACAGCTCAGCGGTGGGGAAAACTAGTCTGTTACATTCAGTACCTTAAAAGCCAAACTAGTTATATTCCATCATTGCCGATCGGAACCAGAACTATCACCAATCAGATAATAATAAGTTTTTAGCCACCTTTGATTACAGTCATTTTGGCTTGTGTAATGAAGTCTTTTCTTTTCTTTTTTTTTCAGACAATACCGTGTTAGTGTCAAGCTACTCTCATAGTTGAGTTATATTTTGCAATGAAAGTACGCGGAAGTAAGGAAATTGGTGAATTTCAACGAGAGCAAATAATAGGATGACATCAGTGTGTCAAGTCAAATAGAGAAATTGCTTAGTTTTTTCCAGGATAATCATGAAACGGTCAATATTGTCAAGAAATTTAATGACAAAGGCCATTGTCGTGTGGAACAAGGTCCAGGAAGAACAAGCATCGTGTCTGAGAGTACGAAAAGGGCGCTGAAGGAGGAAGTCATCAGAAACCGTCGTCAGAGCGTCAAAGATGTCGCCAACAGCATGGAAATATCACCATATGCGGTGAGAAAGACTCTGAAAGAGCTAGGCGATCAAAGAAGAGTTGCAAGAAAGAAGCCCTTGATTTCAGAAGTTAACAGGAACAGGCGAATGGAATGGGTGAGAGAATTCGAGAGCAAAGATTATGAATTTTGGCAGGCTGTAATTTGGTCAGATGAAAGTAAATTCTGTCAATATTCGAATTCCAGACAGGTTTATGTCTGGAGAAATCAGAATGAGACTTGGAACACTGAATGTCTGCAGCCGACCGTAAAACTTGCAGGGACTAGTGTAATGGTGTGTGGCACTGTCTGTTTTTGGAGGGAAATCTGAGCTGATTCTTGTTGACGAGCAGTTGAAAGGTCCAGAATACTATCAAATATTAGAGAAAGGACTACTCTCACTATTTGAAACAAATCAGATTGACAAGAATGTCTATTTTTATCACGAAGATGTAGCGCTATGTCATATGAGCAAAGTAGCAAAGGCCTGGAAGGAATCGCAAGGAATCAAGTCACTGCCATGAGTAGCCCAAATTCCTAACATAAATCCAATAGAGCACGTTTGGGAGCACCTTGACCGAAGACTTCGAGAGTGTGCAACCAAAGTCACGTCAGTAGCAACCCTTAAAGAAACATTGCCAAAGGAGTGGCAAAATATGGATCAGACGATTGTTGATAACTTGATCAAATCCATGAAAATCGAATACAAGCACTGAAACTAGCAAATGGAGGACATATTCTATACTAGTTCCAAATACTGTTTTATGTTGAATGGGGATTACGTAATTAAATTTTGAAATTCGATGCAGTTTATTTCTCCTGGCTAAAAACATTTCTTAGGCCACTGTACAGGCAGTTTTGTCCCATTACAAAGTCTGGATTATTCTTTTTTTTTCTTTATTTCAACCAATACAAATGAATAGGTCAATAGGGATGTTTATACACCGTGGATATGGAATGGCTGGTCTGAGCTATGAAGATTAATCAGTAGAAAATTTGTCATAAGAAAAGGACTAGCAAAATATGGATCAGATGGTTGTTGATGACTTGATGAAATCCATGAAAAATGGAATACAAGCACTGAAACTAGCAAATGGAGGAATTAATCCAGATTGTTTAATAAGAGCCAGATCAGACCAAAAATAAAGTATTGGTGCCTTGTGAGACATTAATTATTTGCCTCCGTAAAAACCATTCTGTACAGATGAACCGTTTCCATGTCATGTGTTCTAGCAGGCTACATTTCTTAGTCCCACGACTCCTGACCTCACAATATGACGTACAGAAGAGTGACTCATCCCAATTCTCAAGAAGTAGATTCCATTCGGACAGCTTCTCCTCAAGAACTGCTGCTTTGTGGAACAGACTCTCGGCAGGATGTTTTTCCCAATCGCTACAATCTTGACCTCTTCAAGTCTAGGGTTAACCGTTATTTTTCTTGCATTACCTCATAAACTTCACACTGTTTTGCTTTCCTGCTACACTGTACAGTATCCCTCTTCCTTGAGAGGCTCTTGGACCTTGTATCTGATAGACATTGGTAGAAAAAAAAACAATTGGAGAAGAGATAAAGAAAGACATTGTACTGATTTTCTATGTCACCATACCTTCCATACTTGTAAAATCTTCGCAGTACATTTATTTATAAACATGTTTTTCATTCATCAGACCCGTATTTAATTTTAAATTGATGTAAGCTTTTCTGCTGTGCGCCCTCAGCAATTGTGTGATCATGTCTCTCCACAACCTCCTATCGCTTATATTTCTTAACTCTTTGTCATTCCTCTTAAACCACGGCCTGTCGTTTATTCGCAAAACCATTCTCCTGTCCCTTTTACCTTTGATATGTCCTGTGTGTGTTAAATTCTCCGAGCCCTCATTTCCTCGTTATGTGTCCACGAATTTTCACCTGTCTCTTTCTGGTTCTTTTTACAAGCGTTCTTTTTGTTTTCACTTTCCAAAGGCTTTTTCGAGGATTACGTGCATGGCAATTTCAGTATTGTTCTGTTCTCTCGTGAATCTGAATCTCATTTTTATGTTTATACATTCTTTTTATAGCTACAAATATTTAAGTAAATGCTCTGTTTTATAATAAACAGTATTAACGACATTTACTGGCCTGAATGTCCGAGAAATTTTCATAGAAAATATACGTCCTCCGACAGGAATCGAACCTATATGCTAAAAGGAACCGTCATATAATCTGACGTGCTTTTACCGATTTAGCCTCAGAGGATCGTCTCCGTTAGCAAGGTCGATTTTACTGTTTTTAAATTACAATTCTCCATGATTTTCTCTCGTACATTCAAGTCTGCTCGATGCGTATCAAAATGTAAACAAATGACGTCACACATTATGAAATGGACAAAGTCCGACAATTATTTTAAGACATTTTCATGTTTATATATTCTTTTTATAGATACAGATATTCAAGTAAATGCTCTGTTTATAATAAACAGTATTAACAACATTTACCAGCCGGAATGTTAATCCTGTTTATTATAAACAGAGCATTTACTTAAATATTTGTATCTATAAAAAATAATGTATAAACATAAAATGTCTTAAAATAATTGTTGGACTTTGTCCGTTTCATAATATCTATCTATCTATCTATATATATATATATATATATATATATATATATATATATATATATATATATATATATATATATTTATATGATTTAAAAAAGATGCCGTCCGTTTAATGGCTTTCATTTCAAAGAAAATCTCATTGTTCAGGCAGATGGACGGTTTATAGTCGCCCGTGATCGATTAATAGTTAGGTCTGTACTATAGCTTCCAGAATAATTTGAATGGGTCTTTGTGAACTGCCATCAGAAGGCACTGGAGTGTGTATTTAACATCAGGTATCAAAATAAAATATGACGGAGAGGAACCAGGAATAAAAGATAATAAGGTTTTGTCTGTGTCAGCCATATTTGCCATCGAGGAATCAAGTGTAACCTAATATTACACTTCGGCACTGAACTCTTTCTCAATCTATTCTTCAATCATGTGCTTCGGTTTTCAAAGGCCTTCAGCTCAAGTTGTGTTCACCAATTTCCCTATTTTTTATAATGAAGTTATTTCGGAATTTATGACAATTTATTTTGGGTGCTGCGTTTTTTTTTTCTTACTTATGACATCACGACTTTCATTGACTAATCAAGCTTTCTTTCGCAATTAAACAATAACGTGGCAAAATAAATAAAATAAGTGAACAAAATAATGGAAACTCTCGTTCTCACATGAGGGTAAATGTCTCCTGATATCTTGTAGATTTAATGAGGCCAGTTCTTGTCAAATAATTTGAAAACATTCCACGAAAGAAAAGAAAAAAAAATCATTAGAGATATTTAAGAAACAATGTATGAAATGGTCATTGACACATGATTCAAACATTAACTAGGTTGTTAAAACCTTTAATTACATTATCTCTTCCTGCCTATGAGTTCATTCATATCTATCTATCTATCTATCTATCTATCTATCTATCTATCTATCTATCTCAGTCTGTTTATAGCTATCTATCTCAGTCTGTTCATATCTATCTATCTATCTATCTATCTATCTATCTATCTATCTATCTATCTCAGTCTGTTCATAGCTATCTATCTCAGTCTGTTCATATCTATCTATTTATCTATCTGTAAATCTCTCTATCTATCTCGGTCTGTTCATAGCTATCTATCTCAGTCTGTTCATATCTATCATCTATCTATCTATCTATCTATCTATCTATCTATCTATCTCAGTCTGTTCATATCTGTCTGTCTTTGTATTCATATCTATTTATCTGTTTATCACAGTCTGTTCATATCTATCTATCTATCTATCTATCTCAGTCTGTATATATATATATATATATATCAGTTTGTATATATATATATATATATATATATATATATATATATATATATATATATATATAGCTGTCCCTTAATATCTATCTATCATTCTGGGTTTGATATTTTTCATATGGTTAATCTCGCTGTTTCTCTTTCTCTCTTTATGTTTTTTTTTATTCAATTCTTTCAATTTTTTCTGCTTTACTTCATTTGACCTTACAGTCTTTCCTTTTTCTTTTTTTTTCTTTCTTTCTTTCTTTCTTTCTTTCTTTCTTTCTTTCTTTCTTTCTCCAAGTCATCCCACCATTTTATACCTTTTCTTTCCTTCGTTACACTTTTTATACAGTTCTTTCAATTGTTTTTCTTCCTTTCTTTCTTTCTTTCTTTCTTTCTTTCTTTCTTTCTTTCTTTCTTTATTAATTTCTTTTTTATTTTTATTCTTTATTTCTTTTTTCTTACTTTCTCCAGTTTCCGCTTTCGTTTCATACATACAGCCGTTCCTCTATAGATTGACATATACTTTTAATTGAATCAGAGGAATGAATTAGTATCAAAATGGCGACATAAAAACAAATTCAAATTTTCATAATATAGGTATAACTTTATTAGCTACTATATTTCTCTAACTCTTCAAATGTCGAATATATAAATAATTCTAATTTCTATATATCCATCTTTACACTATATGAATTATATCTACTTTTTAAGTATAACTTTATATTTTTAAATATAAATTTTTTTGAGATTTAACTTTTCTTGAAAGATAATTGTTTTCTTTATTTTATTTATTTCGTTATATTTTTATTTTTAAATGTATAATTTATTTATCTTATATTTTTATTTCTAAATATATTTTCTTCTTTAATATAACCTGTTGATTTTATATTAAATATAATTTATTTCTAAATATAATTTTACTTGTTTTTAGTAAAAATTATTTAAATCTGTCTTATTTTTAAATTAACTTGTCTTTGGAATAGTACTTTAAAGTATGATTTTATTTTTAAAGTTTGACATTATCTATATAATTTAAGGTTTTTTAAAACCCCTTTTTACTCCTCCCTTAGCTTAAATTTAACAATCCATTCTTCATGCAACCCAAATTTAAAGTGATAAGGTTAATATCCGGGTTTAATTTTATAAAGCTTCTTCCTTTTATGACAAATACACTTCACCCTCACTTGACCCCTGCCTTGTGCATTTCGTCTGACAGAAAAATTGAAATGGATAAATTCTGTATTCCGACATGAACTCTGTCTATACCGGGGTTGAATAAGACTGACGAATTTTATTTTTTCGCCAGTCGAAATAAGCTTATTCTCCATATGAGCTGATTTAGGATTTTATTGTGTATTAATTTCTGCTCTATAATAAAATATACATTGAGCTCTTTTTGTGAATCAGTTTTAATATTTTATATTACTAGGATCCACTTGGATTACCTAGCTTATGTCAGAGGTTATCCCCCAGACGAGGCTCTGTTGAGGGGCGGAGTCTCGTCTCGGGAAGCTGACTCCGTTTTTACGTGGTCTGTAGGGAATTTTTACCCGAGCCTACGGGCTCGGATACCCCACTTTAAACTCGGCCTTGTGCCACATCTTGCTGCGTGGGTCAGTGGTAAATAATTATACCAACTAATCTATTACCTTTTATATATATATATATATATATATATATATATATATATATATATTTAAATGTCCGGTGTATTTGAAGATTCCTGGATTGGGGATAGGGGTCAAGCCTTAATTAAGCAGGTTAGCAAGTCGGTTTCCGGTTGTTTCCCATCAGTTGCTTTACGTAGCATTTTTCGAACTAGGTCTGCGTTTCCCTCTTTTCGCAAGGATGTATTGCCCTACATCAAATTGAGTAATTTAGTATATGAATTTAATTGCCAGTGTGCTGCTGGTTATGTGGGGCGTACAACCTTGCATTTGGAAACTAGAATCAATCAGCACGTACCTTCCAAAATACGACTTGGTAAGATAGATAGAATATGCTATCTTCCCCCCCACTGAATATGGAATCGGCTATTGCTCAACATTTAGTTGAGAATATAGCTTGTGCCAAGTTGTATAAAAAGAGTGGTTTAGAATTATTCATACAGCCGATTCCAATAATCATTTGAAGATTTTGGAATCGGTCTGCATAGGATAAAGGAAACCTTCTCTCTGCCGGCAAAAAAGAATTTGTAAAGTCTCTTAATCTGTTGGGGGATATTTTATTTTAACTGTCCCTCGCTAATTTATTTACACGATTATTTCCCCTCCCCTCGTTACAAATATATACACTTGTTTGTTTTTATTTATTGTGTTTCCCCCCTATTTTTGCTCTTCATTGTCGTTAATATTCTTTTCGTTGATTAATTATCCAACAATTGTCTCCTGATGAGATGTTGGTTGAAAGGGCCTTAGAGACTTTTAAAATTAAAATCAATACATTCCTTGTTTTTAAAACTATATATAAATTTTGTACCTCTAAGCATTTGTTTATATATATATATATATATATATATATATATATATATATATATATATATATATATATATATATATATATATATATATATATATATATATATATGTATATATATATATATATATATTTGTCTTTTCGAGTCCCCGTTTTCCATTTTATTCTTGAATCTTTCATCCGTCCATTCGTTCTTTCTTTCTCACTAATTTCTCCCTCTCTCGCTTTCAAGAACTGACATGGCACAGCGGTATCCGCTTTGAAGCGCTAAAACCCATTGTCGATTCCCCCACCCTCCTAAATGGCCATCGCGCGCTGGAAACAACCGGCCGCTTCATTCTTTGTCCCTTCTCTCTCTCTCTCTCTCTCTCTCTGTTGAAATAAATGGAGACATTCTCGGAAACCAGCCTCTCTTTTCCACGATACACATCACTGCTTACGTTAGCATGTTCGTTTGCATTGGTGTTCACAGATTTTGTGCACTGCAGCACCTTTCTTTTATTCGGCGGCTCTTGCCTAGGAGCGGGCACTTTGTCGTTTAGCAGTCGGGTTATGGTTTTTGCGCATGTGAAATCGATGATATGTCAGCGATATGGATATTGATTGGCAGTCACTGATTAGAAATGATCTTCATTTCATTCGCCAGCCAATTTATGAGCTTTCAATTTCACATTAATCAAAAACAGCACTCTATCTATCTATCTATCTATCTATCTATCTATCTATCTATCTATCTATCTATCTCAATCTGTTCATATCTATCTATCTGTATATATATATATATATATATATATATATATATTCTTTTATATTTATAATTGCCGATCCCATTCTCTTCACAGATTTTAGCAGATCTATCTCATTCTATTCATATTTTAGTCTGTTTCTATCTATCTATCTATCTATTTATCTAGCTATCTATCTATCTATCCCAGTCTACTCATATCTATCTATCTAAATTTCAACATATCTATCTATCTAAATTTCTACATATCTATCTATCTATCTATCTATCTATCTATCTATCTATCTATCTATCTATTTATCTATCTATCTATCTATCTATCCCAGTCTACTCATATCTATCTATCTAAATTTCAACATATCTATCTATCTATCTATCTATCTATCTATCTATCTATCTATCTATCTAAATTTCAACATATGTATCTATCTAAATTTCTACATATCTATCTATCTATCTATCTATCTATCTATCTATCTATCTATCTCAGTCTGCTCATATCTATCTATCTATCTAAATTTCAACATATGTATCTATCTAAATTTCTATCTATCTATCTATCTATCTATCTATCTATCTATCTATCTATCCCAGTCTGCTCATATCTATCTATCTATCTATCTATCTATCTATCTATCTATCTATCTATCTATCTATCTATCTAAGTCCTTTTCATATCTATCTATCTATCTATCTATCTATCTATCTATCTATCTATCTATCGATCTATCTAAGTGTCTTCATATCTAAGTTTCTTCATATATATCTATCTCAATCTGTTCATATCTCTCTCTCTCTCTCTCTCTCTATATATATATATATATATATATATATTCTTTTATATTTATAATTGCCGATCCCATTCTCTTCACAGATTTTAGTTGATCTATCTCATTCTATTCATATCTCAGTCTGTTTCTTTCTATCTATCTATCTATCTATCTATCTATCTATCTAAATTTCTACATATCTATCTATCTATCTATCTATCTATCTATCTATATATCTCAGTCTGTTCCTATGTAAACCTCTTCATATCTATCTGTCTCTCTCTCTATATATAACACTGCTAAGATCTATCTATCTATTTATGTATCTCAATCTTTTCAAAGGAATCAAAATATTATTTTAATTAATGTTCACCTAATACAAGGCCCAAGACTCACTCCAGGTAGAGGGTTACTGTATGAAATTATATTAGCGTAGGAAATAGCAAACCCCGGCAGTAAAGCCGAAATACAGAATAGAAGGAACCGGAAAAGTAGGAAATAAACCAATTTTGTTTCCTGGAAATAGTAAATTTTAGCCTTTAACTTTCAGTTAAAGCTAAAATGAAAGCTCCAAAAAGGCTTTTTTCATTTTTAAAAATTCATTTTCAACCTTTGGTATCGCGAATTTGTGGAGGAATCTAGTTAATATTCATTCCTGAATTAAGTGCATTGACAAATATGGTAATTAATCTTTTAGAAAAATAAATATATTTGCGTAAATGCTTTTCATCATTTGGTTATGAAGTTACCGATTTAGCTTCGGAAATTAATATTCACTAAATTAAGTGCCTTGACAAGGAAAGAGATTATGTTGAAAGTTAAATATTTATTGTAAAAAGCAAAAGATTTATTTGCGTGCATACGACCATTAATATCTATCGCTGTATTAAGTGCCTTGACAAGGAAAGAGATTATGTTGAAAGTTAAATATTTATTGTAAAAAGCAAAAGATTTATTCCCGTGCATACGACGATTAATATTTATCGCAGTATTAAGTGCCTTGACAAGGAACAATATTATATTAAAAAATAAATTATTATTTGATGGATTATATATTTTTTTCATCATTAGGCTATGGGTTTCGATGTAACTACAGAGATTATTTTTCACCTCTGAATTAAGTGCATTAACAAAAGAGGATATTATATTAAAAGAAGAAAGATATACTGTGTAAAATAATTCCTTTTTTTTATATGGCACTGAATGATGACTTAGCATGAGTGACATTGAAAATGGTGCGAAGCTACGCCTCACCATCCACTGTACAGGTTACAATGGGCGAAAATAAGAGTGGGTGAGTTAGCCTGAGTACAAGCCACTCCCCGAGTACGTCTTTGCCAGCTTAGCTGCTGCACCTATTGACAGCCCTGACAAGTGACAGTCTAAAGAACCGGTTTTGTCAGATGAGACAAATGCTAATTCATTTGCACGGAGGATCCTGACTTGTTCAAATCCATGACAGACCTCCGACCAGGCGGCTTTTAGAGCGAATTGGTCGGGTATTACTTCAGCTCTAAAACGGATTCGACTAAAGGAGAAATGGACAAATTTCCGGAAATGGACATCTACAGGATGATCCATTTCTTTGACACCCGTGGAGAAAGAAATCACCCGATGTTTATCGTCCGATGTTATTACGCAAATCACATAAAGCTCAATGACTCGAATTTGCTCTGAGCAATGTTTGTCAAATCTTAAAGGATTATCGTATTTCGCGGCCTATACGATGATCTTATGTATAAGACGCATACTTACCTGCCCCAGGGCTTCGTCCCTGTACTGGTGGTATCATGGCTACGACTAGCTTGGACCGGCTTTGAGCAGTTTGGTCCAGCTATGACAAGCCAAGACCAGGTATGACTAGCTTAGACCAGCTATGACTAGCCTGGACAAACTATGACCAGCTAAGACCAGTTAGACCAACGCCCCGAGTGAAAACACTCGGGTCCCCACGTTAAAAACTAACCTTGTGTCATAATCTGACTCAGTGGGAAGGTCAAGTAAATCTCTACTTACTTTACCCAGGGATCCGTGCCTGTGCTGGTGGCATCACATCTATAACTAGGTTGGACTCTCCCTGGCCAGATTAGACCAGCTCTGACCAGCTTGGACAAGTTAAGACCAGCAACCCGAGTTAAAACAATCTGATCCCCACGTTAAAAACAGACTTTATGTCACAACCTAGGTGGGTGTCAAGTAAATATCTACCTAGCACAGGGATACTTTGACTGGCTTTGGTCGCGTTCTGACCAGTTTGGACAGGCTATGACTAGCTAAGACTAGCTTAGACGAGCTCTGACCAGCATGGACAAGACCAGCGATGGCTCGATTAGACAAGCTCTGACCAGCTTACTCTTTACCCTTGTTCTCACACTCTGTAACCCCTTGCGTACGAGAGTCGAATTCTTGCTTGTGGTGAAATGTTTAAAACAAAAGAAAGAAAAACGAATGAGCGTCCTTGTATTCATAGAAAAATAAAACGTTCATTAGTCGGACTATTGTCCTCATCTTTGTCGCCATATTTATTACAACGTTTCGGCCGTTGTACGCTCCGGCCTTCTTCAGGTGGTTGGAATGTCGAACTGAACCCTTTATTTTGCTCACTCGGGTAGACTGTTCTAGTTCCACGTGCTATGTTTAATGGATGTCAGTTATCAGTTAACTCCTGTTACTTTCCTTCTGAAAGTTCTCCACTGCCTTAACCGCGTATTGAACTCACAATCTTTGGGTCCATATCACTGGATCTAACCAACGCTTTTATTCACTGTGTCATGTGTCCTTGAGGACATCTGTGTATGATCTATAATGGTGAAATGAGATCTTTTTTTTTTTTTTTTTTTTTGGAGGCATTAAAATTTACAAGCCATTTCCTACCCCAGTTAATCACCCATTGGATATCCTTTTCAAGAGGAGCGGTCAGGTTAACTTTGTCATCTCAGACGGATTTATTATTGAGACAGGAGTAAATGGTAGTGTGGTAGTGTCATCTGCATAAATGCCTACTTGGGAACGGATGACATAGAATAACTGAAAATCTGGAGCAAACTTTCAGTTTTAATAAGAGAAAATTAGTCATGAAGTTTGAAAATAGGGAAATAATAAAAACGTCTCCTGGATTAAGCATTTATTTTTAAGACATTATACTGTATGTTTTCAATGAATTTGTATAAAAACTGTGCTTGAATTATTATGGTAAGTTTTTGAAATATAGGTCTTATTTTATGCCTGTAGGAAAGCAAAGAGAATTGGGTTCGTCCCCTCTTTACTAAGTGTTATATAGGAATAAAGAGTCACTGCCGACACTGGGGTTTGAACACAGATCACCAGAAAGCAAACACAGTTGATTCCATTTCTAATAAGTAGACAACGTAAGACGAAGGTAGGTTGAACAAGTGTATTGAAATAATAGATATATATACAAAGCAAGAATGTTAGTCATAAGGAGGTAGAGGTGTACGCCCGAACGGTAGGTTAACACTGCGTCTCCGCTTCCCAACCGACTGCCACGAGGAATGTATGTGGCACAAGGCCGAGTTTAACGTGGGTTTCTCCGAGCCCGTAGGCTCGGCCAAAAATATCCCCTTTGAACCCGCATAAGCAGGTTCGGGATCTGTCTACCTCCCCGGACGAAAATTTGCCCTTCGTCAAAGGCTCGTCCGGGTTCCTCTCTGCCAAAGCAGAGAGTTCGACAGAAGTCGCACACAGTCTGAGACTGCTCTATGATTCTATATTTAACAGTCCCACCCATGAGAAATGTATGTGGCACAAGGCCGAGTTTAACGTGTGTTTCTCCGAGCCCGTAGACTCGCTCAAAAAAGCAATATATATATATATATATATATATATATATATATATATATATATATTATTAAATGGGGTATATTACGAAATCTCAAGGCTAACACAATACTCTTGAATACGTATCGTCTATGCCAAGAAGAAAAACAAGTTCTAGCAACTTATAAGGACACCACTAAATTACTGAATGAGAGACAATATATCATGACCAACTTAAACACATTAAAAGTTCAGCTTTGGGTTATTTGAACCCGGTTAACATATATATATATATATATATATATATATATATATATATATATATATATATATATATATATTTATTTCGCCATTAATCGCATTAATATTGCAGATTGACTCTATGTATGATTATTTCTTTATATATAAAATATATGCTGCCTAATATTATATGTTTATAAAAAAACAATTGATCCCGCAGTATAAAATTCCTGAGAAAAAAAATACTAAGACATATCACTATATTAATTGAACTATATACTTCGTTCATCTCATGTTAACTGAAAAACACTTGTAAAAAAAAGAATTCGTGGATTTACCATATTACAAAATTCATATAAAAATTGTCACTTGAAATTTTGAACTTTAGCATTGCGACTCGCACGTTCCGAGATTGTACAACCGTCAATAAATAGCACATTCTTAAAAAACATCTTTTGGTCTACAAACAATTATTTCGTCTTCAAGTTTTAACTTTAAAGGAAAAAAATTACAGCCTGATGATGAAGACATGGATCCTCGAAAGTACTTGCTTAAATTTAAAAAATATACACTAGAAACATCTGACAACAGTTTTATAAATGAGGATCACATCATTCAATGGATTAACAGTATTTTAATGCATACATTATGTTTCTACTTGCGAAGTGCTTTCGCCATTAATCGCGTTAATATTGCTGATTGATTCTATGTATGATTATTTCTTTATATATATATATATATATATATATATATATCTTAATGTTGTGGTACGATCCACCTAATTTACATAGTGGAGTACCGACGATATAAATATGGGTTGGTACCGGAAGACGGGGGGAGAAGGAAGTAAGAAGAGATCGAATCGAGAGACTCTGCCCGACTGCGATTAAGTCAACCATTCTGCAGGAACAGTCTTCCCAAGAATATACCAAAACTAACTGTAAATATTGTGTACCTTTTCCTTGTTTCAATACATTTTGTTTACGTACATTTTGTGGTGTATTATTATTATTCCATGCTTATCCAAGCTTCAACACTTAATGACGTGAAAGATGAAAATATGGTTTTATTTAATTGCAGGACAAAAAATAACTGTCCTTTAAATTGATTATGCTGTACTAAAGTGGAAGGTGAAAATAGTAGCTGTAAATGTTACGTCGGATACACTGGAGGCCAGTTCAAGAGGAGGTGGAATAATCACAACTCATCTTTTGGAATCCCGGAACTTAGATACAACATGAAGCTAGCAAGCCATTATTGGAAGTTTAGGGAGAGTC